TGGAACAGGGAACTACAAATGGAATTTTATTGGCCAGTTTAGAACAATTTGGAGGGTTCTTAACCTTTTGCATGTCATGTATCACTTGGCAAGCTAGGGAAGCCTGTAGATCACCTTTTCAAAATAATGTTTTAAAATGCATAAAATAAAATGCATATAATTACCAAAATACTTATATTGAAATACAGTGTTTTTAAAAAGTTCACAGATCTTAAGTAAAGAACCCCAGGAAGCAGAACCCTTCCCTAAGGCAAGACTTAGTTAGCTTTCAAGTCCTAATCTTACATAGGGATCTTAAGTATCTCCAATGGCTGGCATAAATGTGTCAAACTGAAAAACTTAATACTGGCAAATGTCCACAGCCGGGGAGGAGTGATCAGACATCAGCAGGAAGGCAGAATAAAGCAAGAATCCTTTAATTTACTGGGATTCTGGTTGCATTTGTAAGTTGTTGTTTGTTTAAAGTAAGATGTTCTGCCTTAGAATGAAGAAATCAAAGGTTACTGCCAACATGTTGGATGACTCCTTTTGGGGTACATTATAACAGGGCATGGTCCAGAGTTGCACAAGATGCGCAGGCTTGGGTTTGGGTTGGTCTGCGTCATTGAAGGGAACTTCCAGATTGGATGAAATCACCAATCCACTTGAGCATCTCAGTAAGATATTCTTTATTAGTTAAACCATTGCTCATAGTTAAAGAAAGATGTTGGTTGCTTGTGGATGAATTGAAGAGATACTAATTCCAAGGTGAGACAGCTAGGTGGCATAATGGATAGAACACTGGGCCTGGAGTCAGGAAGACCTGAGTTCAACCCAGCCTGATAAACTTACCAGCTGTGCGACTCTGAGCAAGTCACATAACCTCTGTCTCCCTCAATTTCCTTAACTGTAAAATGGGGATAATAGCACCTGCCTCCCAGAGTTGTTGTAAGGATCAGATAAATCATATTTGTAAAGCACTGATAGGACTGCTTGGCACATAGTAGGAACTTAATAACTGGTTGTTGCATTCTCCCCCCATGCCTCCCAAATTTCTCATACCAAAGACTAAGGCTCAGCCAGTACTTCTGTGTATTGATAATTCAAGATAACAAATGTTTTATTGTTTACTACACGCAAAGCACCAGAGGGAATTATGTTTACAAAGATTAATGTAACAAATACTTACCTACTTTCATAAGGGAAATAGTATAACCCAAACTCTGATTCATGAATTTATTAACTTTTCTTCATCTGATGCAGTCATAAAATGAATTTTTGTGACTGTAGGGTTATGAGCTGCCTAGAAATATGACACCAAAGGGGAAAATATCACACAGAAAACCAAGATAAATATCTAACAACTCAACCAAAAAAGGACGAGAATACTGTTCGTGATCAAAGTGAAGAGATGCTACCCGAAATAATTTGAACGTGGGGACTGGAGGATAGCTGGGAAGGGAGGGTGGAAAAGGAGGATCATAGATCTAAACCTTACAGTCTGCCAGTCAGTCAACAAGCATTTATTAAGTGCTTACTGTGTGCCAGGCACTGGGGATACCAAAAAAGGCTAAAACATGATTGTAGCCCTCCAGGAGTTCACGTTCTAATGCGGAGGGATCATCCTAATCTAATCCCTTCTTTTTATAGATAAGGCAACCGAGGCTCAGACAGGTCAAGCGATAGCATAAAGTATCAGAGGCAGGAATTGAACTCATGTTTGGTGACACCAAGGGTGATGCTCTTTTCACTTTACCATGAAGTGTCACAAGGCCGAGGAGAAGTTCAGTCAGCATGTATTAAGTACCTAATACACAAGGCACTGTGTTAGGCTCTGGAAAGACAATGATGAAACAAAAGCCCCCGCCTTCAGAGAGCTTACGTGCTATGTGGGGACAGGGGTGGGATAGGATACAACACATACAGATAAGTAAACACAAGATATGTACAAAGTGAATACAGAGGAAGAATAAAACACTGAGTCGGGAGAACATAATGTCTGGTGGAGGTAGGTGATGAATGTGGTGCCGTTGATCCTTTCTGGTGCGTTGGTGGTGCGTTCCCAACGTCACTGCCAATGACTAGCTGGCAGGGCTGAAATGGGAGAAGGGAGAATCAGACTCCTGCCCTTCTGTCAGAGCCAGAAAAATGCTCTAAGTGCTTTCAATAGCTGCTATCATTTGTTTTTCTCCTGGTAGAAGTATTAATGACAGTGTGAGTTGTGCTCCAGCCGAAGGAAGGGAATCAACAAGCATTGATTATTTGCTTACTATGTGCCAGGTGCTGTGCTAAGCTGGGATGAGTCCATCTAAGTGGTTTCTCCACAAAGAGTTGGATGAATAAATGACTTTGGCCCGGAAAGATGGTACTAAAGCTAAACAGAGTAGTGCCAACATGCATGGAAGGCTGTTGTGGTCATCCACCATTTGGCCCCACCAAGGTATTTCTGCCTGGGCAGCCATCTGCCATTAAAGTGAAGAAATGTCCTTGGCTTGGAGAAAAGATGGACAAAATGACAGGATCGAATGACAGGAGTTCCTTGTCAGTGGGCATGAAGCCAGGTTTGAGGAGAAGAGTTTCAATGTTGCTAGCCAGGGATTAGGGCAGGCTCCCAGCTCCAGGGGGTTGACCTAGTAGACTTCTGAGGTCCCTTCCAGTTCTAAATCTATTATTCTATGATCCTACTTCAGTTGCTTACTGCCCTTAAAACATAAAATGCTTAGATCCACCACAAATCCTTTGCCCATCCTGCTCCTCCCTACCCCCATCATTAACTTCCTTTTGTCTATACCGTGTATCCAAATCCAACCAGGTCCAGTCTGCCTTTCACCTTCTCCAGGAAAATACCTCACCATTTCCTCCCACATGACTCCTTCCTTGCATGCTACTTGTTTTGGCATGTAATCATATACTCATCCAACCAGCAAGTGCCTACTACACATACGGACTTGTGCATCTTACACTGTTCTCTGATGCTCATGTATTGTTTCCCTAGTTACAACTGTAAGCAATTTGAATTGAGAACATGGTTTACTTGTAAAAGGAACTCAGCATGGAGAAAGGCAGGAACCCACCCACAGCTATTAAGGGAACAAAGGCTAGGTAGGGAAAGGACTCCATCATTTGAGCTGAAAGGATATAAAGTAAGTCTCTTTTGTAATACAGCAAGATGGTGTTGAACTAAGTTAGGGAAAAGGGGAGTTAGAATCATTGCCTCTGACACTTAATAGCTGTGTGATTCTGGGCAAGTCAATTAACATCTCTGGGCATGAGATTCCTCATCTGTAAAATGAAGAGGGTTGGTTTGGATAATCTCTATAATGATCCTTTCCAGCCCTAAGTCTATGATGCTAAGTTTTTCAAGATAAGGCTGTAAGAATTTGTCTAAGCCTTGTACTAAGTACTTAATAAATGCTATTCTTTCTTTCTTCCTCTTTTTTTCTTCCCATCCACCTATCTATCTATCTATCTATCTATCTATCTATCTATCTATCTATCTATCTATCTATCTATCTATCTAGACAGCTGGTGGTAAAGTGGATAGAGTACTAGGCCTTGGAATCTGGAAGACCTGAATTCAAACCTGGTCTCAGATCCTTACTACCTGTGTAACCTGGGGCAAGTCACTTGCCCTTTCAGGGCCTCTGTTTCCTCATCTGTAAAAAGAAAGGGTTGGACTCAAGGGCCTCTAAGGTCCCTTTCTTAGTTCAAAGTCTAGGACTTTTCTTTTATTTCTTCACGTTTCTCCACAGCCCCACATTTCTATTTCCTCCCTTTCCTCATTTTCCTTAGTCTTCTCATCATCCCCACTCCTATTCACCCTCATTCATACCTATTTCTGTATCATCCTCTCTCATTCACCTTGCTCAGCCATATCTGCACTCTTTACCTCATTATTCTTTCCTCTCATTCTTCCCCCTCTCCTTGGTCTTCTTCCTCTGCCTCTTTCCCTCATTATTCTTCCCCTTGGTCTTTCTTCCTCTGCCTCCCAAGAGAATTCTACCCCGGGCATGATTCATAATACAACAATAGGTTGTCAAAGCCAGAAAGCCTTAGCTGGTGAGCATCTAACCCCCTCATTTTAGAGATGGAAAAGCTGAGGCCTGGAGAAAGAGAGATCTTCCTAAGGTTACACAAGCTATGCTAGCTATGCTAGAACTTAAACCCAGATCCCCTGTCTCCAAAGTTCAGGGCCCTTTCCCCTTGCACCAAGTTGCCTCCCTGAGTCTGACTGCAGGGCAAACCTGGCTCCCAGAAATCAGGGTATCAGCATCCTCTCCCTTCTTCCCACTAAGGTAGATCCCTGTAGAAAGCTTTCTTCAATCCCCAACAGCTAGAGCACTGACCAGCCTTGGAGTCTGTGCTGCCCTTTCCCCTTCCTCCTGTCTAGGCCCTTTCTGTCCCTTGATCCCAAGACCAGAAAGCTTAGACTTGGACTCAGACCATGTTAGATTCCAGTTTCTAACAGCAATGAGATGTATGACCTCAGGCAAGTCAGTCTGTCTCTGAGCACAGAAGCTGGCACATAGTAAACACTTAATAAAGGCTTTTTAATTCATTCTGAGCCTGATACCTGCAGCACATACCTCACACATACCTTTTAAGTGTGTTGCAAACTCTTAAGTTATGATATGGTCATGACCTCAGACCCTTTTGCCTGATATTTGAGCTCCTTCATGGTCTGGCCAGAGCATACCTTTCCAATCTGATTTTCTTCTGCTCTCCTATAGGGACCTGCTGCTGGAGGCATCCCTCTCTGCTTTTGGTGCCCAGGGTGCAGAGATAAAGATATCGCCTCACTGACACCATGGGGAGAGTGGCCTTGGGCCCCAGATGAGCTTGCCCTGGCACACCATGAACTCTGCTTGGAGTATACGATCTTGGCCCTCTGGAGCATACAACCTTGGCCCTCCGTTAAATTTGATCCTGGCAGCCTAGTCTCCTGGCAGCTCAAACTGCCGCCACCATCTCCCTTTTGCTAGGCCATGGAAGGTTTTAAGCAATAACAATGATTTACTGGGAAAGGAGGAATGCCAGTCATGTTCTTAAGAGACAGCCAAAAAAGCTAACATCTTCTTAATGGGCAAAAATCCAAAGCGAGGGAGATTACAGTCCCACTGCTGGACTCTGCCTCTCTCAGGCCACAACTGGCAACCTGGATAATGTCCAGAAGAGGGCAATCAGGGTGGCAGGAGGAGGACTAGAGACCATACCATTCAAGGACTAAATGAAGGAATGAATAAAGGTAACATGCACTTTGTCAACCTTAAAATACCACACAAAGACGGCTCATATTAGTGTTGAAGGCCTGGGATGTTTAGCCTGTAAAGGGCTTGGAGGGAAGGAAGGTGGGCACAGGCTCACTGTATTCAAGTGCTTGAACGCTTTCATGTGGATAAGGGATGCATATAGTGACTGGGGTGTACAGAGGAAGAGGTAACAGTATGCACCATGGGAGGTGACTAGAGTACGTGAGGAGAAGACCTGTTTGGAATTCTAGAGATGGGGGGCAGGAGAGGGGTCAGAGGTTGCTGCCCTCCTGAGCCCCTTTCCACCAAGGGCTTTGTTTGGTGCTAAGTTCTCCCCACACTCTAGGCATGAGCCTTCCTGTAGCTTCTGATCCCATAAGGACATGAGTGGCAGGAACAGAGGCTATTTTTATTCCTACAGCTTCCTGGACATCCATGTGTCTTATGTGTCTTCTTGGGCTTTGCAGTAAATGTAAGCTGGGAGTTAGTGACTTGTGTTCTAACAGATACAGGGCCTAAATTCAGGGCCAGGATGCTCAGTGCAGACTGGGGGCACATTCCCAGGATGGGTGCTGGGTCTGCCCTGTGCACCCAGGGGTCAGTGCTGATTGTCAACTTCAGTGCGGGGGCAGGTGAGGTCCTTGTCCAGAGGAGTTGCCAGTAGGTTAGGGGTCACCTGTGCTACCCATAGAACCTCCCAAAATAGGACTATGTCATGGCAGGTGATGTCACCCCTTGCCCAGGGAAGTCTTTCTTGTCTTGGGGTATGTGATTTCTAGAAGTGTATCTATATGAAGACTATTAGTCCTGTGTGCCCAGTGCCAGTCGACAGTTTGGGTTCAGTGCCAGATTAGGATTTCCTATGGTCCTCAGGGGAATGGTGCCCGTGCCACCCTGGGTAGGAGTGGGGGGAATCAGGCTCCCTATGGTAGAATACCCATTTCCCCCCAAGGCAGAAAGGACCCTTTGTTCCCAAGGCAGGAGGGGCAGTGTATCTCCGGGTTGGTTCCATGTCTTCCTAAACAAGACATGGACTGCATGTGTTGGGATGCCCTCAGCCAGGACCCAGTGTGCTGATAGTTGTATAGCTGAGACGAGACAGAGAGGTAGTGGGATGGTCAAGTTCATGGTCATCACCTAGCCGGGGCCCAGCTCGAGCAACTCGGGCACGGGGTGGGTGGGGTCGGCATCTAGCACAAGTGGCCATGCAGGCCTGACGGAAACGCCGATGCATGAAGCAGTAGACAAGTGGATTGACACAGGCAGAGACATAGCTGAGCAAATGGATGAAAGAGATAGGGGCTCCCGAGAGGGCACGATGAGCACCTTCCCTGTCAAAGGCACGCCATGTGTTGGCACTGTACAAGGGCAGCCAGCACAGGAAAAACAGCCCCACGATCACCAGCAGCATCCGTACTACCCGCTTCTTGGCCTGCAGCTGAGCCTGTGCCTGAGCTGGCCATGAGCTCACACCAGGTCCGGGGCCTCGGGTGTCCCTTCTAGAGGCAGTGGGGGTCAGCGCTGAGAGTTCCATTCCAGATTGTTCTGAGAGTAGATTCACATAGCAGCCATCACCCTCCTGGCCTGCAGGTGCCCGGGCACTTGGCCCATTGGAAAGCGCTAGCAGGGGAGGAAGGATTGCAATTAGGGTTGATATATGGACCCCAAAATCCCACCTAGCCACCTGGTCTCCAGCTCTAAGAACCCTGGAGCTCCTGATATTTAACTGCCCTCTGACTGTGCTCTTCTTGTGACCCCTAACCTAATTATGACCTCTGAGTCATTCTGTGCTTTATTGGGAGTCAGAAGACCTAAGTTCTCTGGTGAATCTGGCTCTGAGACTTTCTATCTGTGTGGCCTTGGCCAAGTCACTTAGCCTCAGTTTCTTCATTTGAGAATGAGATTATTTCTAAGGAATTGGAGTTGTGAGTGGAAAAGAGCTCTGGATCTGGAGTCAGGACCTGGGCTCATGTCTCAGATCTGCCACTCAGTACCTTCGTGGTACTGACTGCCTCTCTGAGCTTCAGTTTCCTCATCTGTAAAATGTCACTGAATGACCTCTAAAGTCCTTTCCAGCTCTGTCTATGATCCAGTGATTTCTCTTGAGCCCTAGCTCGAACCTGGATCCCCACCTTGCCCCAAAGTTACCTCTGATAGTTTTTCCAACCCCATCCCCTTACCCCTCCCCAGCAGCACCCTCCCGCTGACCTGGGCTTGGCCCACCAGGCAATCCGCTGTGTCTGTGGTTGCCGTTCTGGCCCTGCTGCCCATGCCCGTGCCTCTGGCTCTGGCTCTCGAAGCGGATCCCCAAGTAGAGTTCTCGGGAGATGAGACCGTAAGCCACGGCCATGACTACGCCAGGTACAAAGAACAGGAACAGCAGGAGCAACACAGACCTGTGGAGTGGGCCAGGCCATCCAGCTCATCCTATCAAAGAACGGCTGACCTCGCCCTGGGCCCCTCCCGCTCGACCCCGCCAATCAAAGTATGCAGGGACACCCGTCTACTGTGGCATCCTCGCTCCACTCTCCCCCAACCCAAACCAATCACGTAACAGTTCGGGACACCTGCCTCTTACACCTGGGACCTACAGCAAGGGAATTACTGAGGAGATAGGAAACAGCTTGGGGACCAGAACTTAGGGAGCGGAGGATTCTTGACCTCACCTTCAGCGAGGCCCGCCCTCTGAGGTCTGAAATTTGCAATTTATTTACCTACAATGATGCCGACTCAATGGGGGAGGAGGATTGGGGTGTTCGAGGGGCAAAGGTTGCCTCTGTGGTGGGAGCTGAGTTCTCCGAGGCAGGTAACGAGGCAGTCTCGAGACCGACACAAGGGTCTGAGTAAACTCAAGAGGACTAGGGATAAGGGGTCTGCCAGGACATCCTGCAGGGACTAGGGAAGGGACATTCTCTGGGCACATTCAGAAGCCCACGGAGGGAAGGGTACCGTGTGAGCTGGTAGAGGGGTGTCTCTAAGGGGAAGAGCTATTCCCAGGGGTTTGACGCTTACCATGCCTGGCGCGCTCGATTGCTAGGCCAGCTGTGCGTGCACTGCAGTGCGCGGGGGCTCACTGGCCTCACAACAGAGTACACGGGATAGGGTAGCATGAGCAGACCAGACAGCAGCCACGTGGCCACGATGACACGCACGGCGTGGGAGCGTGTCTGCCACACACGTGCCTGCAAAGGCCGGCAGATGGCGCTGTAGCGCTCCAGGGCGATGGCCACCAGGCTTAGGGTGGACACGCTCACAGACACTCCTGGGGAAAGGAGGTGGGCAGGAGACACATGATCACCGTGCCAACTGACGCCAAGGACAACTTCATATGACCTCAAATACTTCTTGCATCCCCAGCCCCCAACCCTAGGTCCGAGGAAAGATCCTAACATTTACCCAACCCTGAGCACCCCAAGTTCCTACATCCCCCACTCCATCAACTCCTACACACCCCTCTTCTCTCCCGAGGACAGGTGATGCAAGGCAGGGCTGGGAGCTCACCCATGAGATAGGCAACAGCCTTGCAGACCACAGTGCCGAAGATGAAGGTGCCCATGAGGTTGGGCAGGAGGGTGAAGGGCATACAGGCCACAGCCAGGAGTAGGTCGCTGACAGCCAGTGAGAGCAGGAAGGCATTGGTGACGGTGCGCAGGCGACGGCTTAGTCCCAGCACTGTGATTATCAGCATGTTTCCTCCCACGCTCAGCAGGAAAATGACGACATACAGGGTCACCCTCACTGCCAGCTCCAACTCTGGGACCCAGGAAAGATGGCAACAGAGGTTGGTCAGGATCTGCTGAACTTGAGGTCCCTCCATCAGATATCCCCAGCCCAGGAGCCCTTCCTTCCAGCTCGAGGGCCCCACTCTGACCCTCTTCATTTTGAGGAAATCCCCATGTACTTCTACTGAAGACTTGTTCTATTGAACTGAGAATTAAAACATGCTGCAAAAAAATGTGAGGCGTGGGAGGGTGGCATGGTTAAGAAGCAATTGTGGCAGTAGATGAAACTTAGCAAAGAGACGTCTTTCTAGGGAAATTAGGCACCAATAATATCATTTATATAGAGCTTAAAGTTTGCAAAGGAGTTTACATACGTCATCTCATTTGATCCTTACAACCTCTCTAAGGGGTAGATGCTATAATTATTCCCATTTTGCAGTTGAGGTAAAGAGGTTAAATGAATTGTCCAGGGTCACACAGCTAGATAACTGACGCAGAATTTGAACCCAGATCTCTCCAGATTCCAGCTCCCACACTCTATCCAGCGTACTACTCACTGCTTCAGAGGTAAGGTCTTATTTGAGAGAATCAAAAGCCTAACCATGAAAGAAACTTTTCTGACTGGCAGGCAGTAGTGACTCTGTTGCAGCTTTTCCCCTCTTAAATCTGGCATTTGTAGAACCCCAAGCCAGAAGGGAATGTTTTGAAACCATGTCCTCCAGGAGAGCAAGACAGAGATAAAAAAGCTTTCTCCCCTTGGGAAGAAATGTGCAGGGAGGCACAGCTCTGGCTTCTAGAGCTAAAGAGCACAGGTGAGAAGGCAAATTATCACCCTTGTGAGTTGCAAAGAGGTAGTTAGTTAATAGCTGGAAGAAAGTCTGTTGGGGTGAAGAGTGTGAAGAACTAACTAGAACTAGGAATATGGCCTTTTTTTTCCCCACCAGAGGCACTAGAGATGATGTCTAGACTGTCACCTCATAGTACTTCATTTCTTTCACATGCTCATATTCTGCATATAGAGAACAGGACTGAAAGTTAAAAGGGGGCTTTGAGATCATCTATCATGGGTGGGGAACCTGTGGTCTCAAGTCCTGCCCCTGAGTCCTAGTTGAATTCCTAATTTTATGGTTGAGGAAACAAGCCCAGGGACATGAAATAATTACCCATGATCATAAAGGTAGAAAGTATCATGGAGAGGAATTCCCACCCAGGTCCTCTCCCCAAAATCCATGCTCTTTCCACTCAATAATTTGTCTTATTATTATTCATTTTTGTTCTGTTTCCCCTATTAATGACTTTTGGGGGCAGTGGTCATCTCTACTTGACATTATCTCCTCCAGTTTCTAGCAAATAGCCCTGCACAAAACCAGATCCTACTTTTAAAAAAATGTTTGTTGAATGAATGAAGAGAATTTGTTTACATTTGAGCTTACTTAAAATTATAGGTATTGGAATTTTGTTGGTCTTGCTTTAAATTTTAGCCCTTGGCTTATATTTAGCCATTAGAGATTAGTAAATCATTTTTCCTGTAAGTTTAAGTAATTGTTGTTCAGTCATATCTGACTCTTTGTGACCACATTTGGGGTTTTCTTGGCAAAGATACTAGAGTAGTTTGTCATTTCCTTCTCCAGCTCATTTTACAGATGAGGAAACTGAGGCAAATAGGGTGAAGTGACTTGCCCAGGGTCACACAGCTAGTAAGTGTCTGAGGCTGGATTTTAACTCATTAAGATGAGTCTTCTGATTGCAAGCCCAGTGTTCTATCCACTGTGCTACCTAGTTGCACCAAAAATTTAAGTAAAGGATATTTTAAAAAGACAAAAAAATACGGATTATGCATTCTAGCCTTGGTCCTTTTTGGGTTACCTTTAACAGAGTATGGGGTAAGCCAAGATTTTTGGCCTAATGCTAGGAAACATAGGAAACTCATTTAAAACTGATAGCAGCTCCTTGGGTAGACTTTAGATATTGGCCCATTCCAAAGGAATGGCGATACAAATATTATACTTTCCTTGGAACCCTTACCTGGTTTCCCATCCTCTGCAATTCATGAGTATGAGTGTGGGCCTTGGACTTGCACACTTTGACATGCAAGCCTGGACAATCTTTCTGTCCATACACTTCTCTTAAGCCACATACTATCCCAGTCAAACAGTTTTAACTAAGTCCAGGTCTCTTTGAGGACTCTTTCTGCCCCACAGACTAGGTAGGTCCATGTTTCACTCCTCAGACATCAAGGGAGCTAATGCTATTTGTGGAGGGTGGTGCTGGGGATTGAGTATGTATGCTGATATTCATCCACATTGCAAGGGCTGAAAGGAGCAAGAAGTCAGCATAGATGGAGGTCAATGAAGAAAGCTTATTAACTGAACAAATGTAAGGATAAATAAGTGAGTGGATGGATTTGTGGATGGACAGTGGATGGATGGGTAGATTGGGGCATAGTTAGAGGCCATCTGGGTCAAGCCTTAAGAAAAGCTATGGGTAGCTCCTCAAAAATGGGTGAGGGGATTGTAAAACTCAGTACAAATTAGGATGTTACCCAGTCAAGATGTTTAGTGAGACTGGTTTGTGATGGCTTTAAGAGAGCTAAGAATGCAGGCAGTAGGTGACCCAGGGCTGGCATTCTGCCATCACGTGAAGGATTCTTGGGCAATATCCACTCCTTACCTCCTTTCTCCATTATATGTCAGCACCTTACCCCTCTATTCAATCTGTCTATGCTTTCACATTCCTTCTCAGGATGGGAAAACCCATGCCCATTCAGGGCATCTTGGTTCTATGCAGTATTCTGCAGTGAGTCAGTTCTGCTCTTAGCATAGTGCCTGCCATATAGTAGGTGCTTAATAAATGCTAGTTGACTGTCTCTACCCAAAAGTAGGGCAAGGAAGAGAAGAAAGACTGAGCAGTGAAGAAAGGTCTGAAAAAAAGAGGGAAAAATTGGTGCAAAGGTAGGAGAGACAGAAAGAGTGAAGAGGGAGACAAGGATAAGAGGAAAGTAAAAGTGTGGAGGGGAATAATAAAGAGGTTATGGGGTGGGGGGTGAAGAGTAAGGGGAGTAGGAAGAGAAATGAAGGTAACAAAGAAGAAAAATGTGAAGGGAAGAGAACACTCAGGAACTGGTGATGAAAAGAGGGGAAAATTAAGAAAATATTGGAGTCATCCACGCATAGAAGATACTTGCATGGATGAGATCCTGGAGGACAGAAAGAAGAGGGATGCATATAGAACCTTGAGACCATTACATTTAATGGCAGACAGAGAAAGAGGAACCAAGAGAGACAAAGGAAAATACATTGAGGTGGGGACACCCAGGAAAACTTGGGGTTAGGAAACTAAGGCATCCACAATTAGGATTCACAATTAGGCATGGTTCCCAGTAATATATTGTTGAAAGGCTTAGGAGGACTAACAAGTCCAGACAATGAAGCAATATCTGGATGCTGGAAGCAAGGTATGGAAAGGGAAAGGGCTCTTTCCCTTACTCCCCACATCTCACACTCAACCTCACAAATCATGTATGGAGGATCCTCTGGAGACTGAGAAAGTTTTAAGGATGAGAAAAGGAAGAAGAGGGATGAAGTAGACAGATCCTTGCCTGGACCAAGCCAACAAGGGGCTCAGGAGGACAGTTCAGCAAATCCTGAAGCAGCAGCCATTCACCAGGAGTGGTGACAGACCACTTCCTTCCTTCTTCCCTTCCTCCATCTCTTCCTTCCTCCTTCCCTTCCTCCCTCTCTTCCTTCCTCCCTCCCTTCCCTCCTTCCTTCCTTCATCTTTTCAGTCAGCCAGAAAAGCTACAGAGCAAACAGGGTAGTCAGATTGCTACTAAGGAGAGTGTAGGGTCTGTGGAAAGGCCAGGGATGGAGGTGATGGGGTATTGACAAGATTTTCTAAAGTCAGAGATAGGGTGGGGATAGAATTACATTTGATTTTAAGTTTCTTGAGAGCAGGGGCTGTGTAGTCTCTCTCAATGTATCCATAGCAATGAGCACATAGTAAGTGTTCAATAAATGTTTGTTGAATTAAAATGTCAGACCTGGAAGAGGCCTTAAAAGAGGAAATTCTTGACCTTTTTGTATCATGGTCCCCTCTGGCAGTCTAGTGATCCTAGTGAAGCCCATGGATCATTTCTCAAAATAATGTTTTTAAGTGCATAAAATTAAATACATGCGATTACAAAGGAAACCAATTGTATCAAAATACTGAAAGTTCCAAGTTCTCAGACCCCCTGAAATCTATCCATGGATCTCTTGGGGGTCCTTGGATACCAGGTTAAGAATCCCTGCCTTGGAGAATATCTCAACTAGTATTTCCAAAATTGTTTCTCAGAACCCCACTGGTTTCATGAAAAGTGAATGAGGTACCATAAAAAAAGGTAAATATTTGTGGTATTGTCCCTCTACAATGTGAATGGGAAGTGATATGTCAAAATAATAATAGCTCCCATTCTTTAGTACTTTAAAAAGGTTTATAAAGCATTTTCTTCACAATACCCCTGGTAGATTTGGATTTATGGACTATAGCTGAAAATACAGGAATGATAGGCTCTTGGCCAGGGATAAAGTACACCTAATGAGGACTGCTCAAAGTATGTTTGTCTGGAATCTTGTAAATCTAATCAAGATGGCTTTAAATTGAAAAGGGAAGGGAAGGGAGAAAACTGCATGGTCACTACGCTCATACACCTCCCCCCCCATATACATCTATCAAACAACACATCACAGAGAGTGGTAGTGCAAAATAGGAAGAAGCATATCAATAGAAAGGACAAGTAAGTCACAGGAGACAATATCCAAGAAAAGGATCAGCAATAAAACTCAAAGCCTCAGATGTTTATACACAAATTCACAAAGTGTGGGAAATAAACTGAGGGTGAATGAGAGATTCTAATGCAAGGAGGCAAATCTGACCTGATGGCTATCACTGAGAATTGATTAGGATGGGACTCTTGGATAGACTATAGCTATGGTAAGGGTATATTGATTCAAAATTAATAGAATTAATATGAAAATATGTTTAATAGGTTAT